CCCACGGGGCGGGCCCCATGGCAGCTTGGCCTCTGTGAGACCCCTCTCCCCTGGCCTGCCCGGGCAGCCAGAGCAGGCCCAGGGTCTGGCTCCAAAACCCGCACGTGAGGGCCGGGTGCCTTCTCTGGGGAAACAGGGCAGAGTCCAAGGGCCTTGTGGCCAGGCCCCGGGCCGGGCTTGTCCCTGTCGCAGGTGTTCGGGAGCCCTGCTCTCCCCAGGGTGCCAGCCACGGGCCCCGTCCCACTCTGCCAGCCTTGCAGGTTTTGCAGCTAAAGGTGCTGCTTTTGTGTAATTTACAAAAAAATCTATAGAGTTCCTCATACTCAAGAGTATCTGCCCCAGCTTGGGCTTCAGCCTGTCGCCTGGAGGAGTTTGTGCCCCAGAGGTTAATGGAAGAAAAGGCTGAAAAATGGCTTTAATGTTTAATCACGTAACATCCAATAAATGCCTGCGTGGCGCAAATTAGCTTTCCTTAAATCCGCTGAAAGAGATGTGCTGCCTGCAGGGTCCAGTCCGCCCTGAAAACCTCAACTATGGCAGAGTCCGTAAGCCCCAGCGAGAGCATTTCAGTTTTCCATAAAGAATTAGATGATAAAATCAAAATTACCCTAAATGCTGTAAGATGTGATTAGCCAGGACTGTCTGCAAGCAAGCCCAGAGAAACCATCCGCACATTTCCCAGCCAGGGCTGGGGTATGTCCTGCTGCTGCTGGTCCCACTCCTGCGCCGTGCAGCGAGGCATTCACCATCGGCAGGAGCTCGTCACAGCCCGGCGTTGTTCTCTGCCACCTTTGCCAGGACGTGAAGGCCTTTTTTCACCGTGCCACTAATACAGAACACCCTGAGACGGCATTCAAGTCTGGTATAAACAGATGTACCTCTGCTACGTAGCGATGTGCTGTCGCACTTTGCTGATGGTGCTGGTACAACTCTGCCCGTGCCCAGTTACGGGGTTTAGAGAGAGTTATGTGACGCCTGGGGATTTCTAGAGAAACTGAAGATCTGCAGAGTGTTTTACTTGAGGTTAGCTGTATTTTATGGAGTGTAAGGAAGACACCACTGAATGTAAGAAAAATGGATTAGGAGGTTACAGGTGGACAGGTGGGAGGCCAGGCAGGAGGAATTGTTATAAAATGTTAGGATCTGCTGTTCTGGGGCATGGCGTTACCTGCTGCCTCAGGGCTGGCACGGTGATGAGGCACCAGTATCTCTGCAGCTTGGGGACTGTCTGCCTGTGGAAATCTGTGCACTTTATGACCCAGTGTCTAAGAATAACATCAGCAGGAGCTGGCTGCATGGCAGGCATCTGATGTCCCATCTCCCAGGACCTCCATAAGAAGAGAAAAGAAAAAAGGAAAGTGATCCAGACTCTTTCTGCCAGTGCAAGTGCGGACTTCCCACAGCTGCCGCCCTACATTACACGCGTGTCCTCGCAGACAGTCTCTATGATGGAGGACTTGTGGGTGCTGTCTGCTTCGGGGCTGTCCTCTGAGGCCTTCAGCTGCCTCCTGAACCGAGACAAGAGCATCCTCAGGGAGGAATACAGCTCCTTGCTCCGCAGGGCATAAATAATGGGGTTCACCATGGAATTGAGCAGGCAGAGGGTGCTGCAGAAGGCAAACACCTTGCGCAGGTGATTGCTCAGGCTGGCAAATATGCTGTAGATCATGAGAATGAGGACTGGAGACCAGCACAGCACGAGGACCGTCAGCACCATGACAAGGGTCTTGGCCAGCATGACATCCATCCTCATCCTGGTGTTCTGCTTTCCCATCTGCACTTGGTTCTTCTCCATGTAGGCCACGTGCTGGTGAGCCCTCCACAGCACATGTGCGTAGGCATAGATGATACACCCCAGCAGGACCATGACGAAGCAGATCCAGCTCGACAGATAGTTGTCGTCCACAAACGGGAACAGCTCAGAGCAGGTTGAATTGAGCGTGCAGCAGTTCCAGCCCAGGAGGGGCAGGGAAGCAATGGTCACACATGTCATCCAGAGCAGCCCCAGGACTATCCACGCTCTCTTCCTTGTCATGAGGAGCTTGTATTCAGATGGTCGGCTGATGGAGATGTAACGGTCCAGGGCTGTCAGCAGCAAGCTGCTCAGGGAGGCAGAGAAGGACGTGTTCACCCCTCCCAGCTGCAGCAGGAACATTTCTTTAGAGAAACGGGTTTCATTAAAGACATGGAAGTTCACAAAACTGCAGACGAAGATGATGCTGGCCAGAATGTCAGCCAAGGCCAGGCTGCTGATAAAGAGGTAGGAAGGCTTTCTCCTGGTCCCGGGGGAGGAGAAGATCAGGTACAGCACCAAAGAGTTCTCAAACATGCACAGTGTCCCAAAGAGGCCACACAGTGTGGCAATGCTTATCTTCTGCGCTTGCGTGCTGAGGACCATGAAGCACTCCATGGTGTTCGCACTGCATTTGGAGGCGTTTTCATACATCTCACAAATATCCATTGTGATTAACTGGAGCTAGGATCTTGCAGAGAGCCTTTCTGCTTCCTTCGCACTTCTTCAGATGCTCTGAAAAAGACCAAGGGGAAGGGGACTTACAGGAGCACAATTAGCAATAAACTCAACCCACTTGGACACATCCCTCCCTTTAGAGGGAAGCATGCAAAAGAAAAAGAGCCCAGGGAGACCTACTTCAGGTCCACAGCCCAAATGCTGTAGCCGACTTCCACCCTTTCCCAGCAGACATCCAGGCTTTAACCCACCGGTGACTTGGCTGAGACCCGTCTATCACAGCCCATGAGTACCACGGCCGTACCACGTCCGTCTCTCGGGGTGTTTCCTCACCACAAGAGGGAAGCAGCAACGCTGAGAATTGTACAAATCCTGGGCCAGCTCTTACCAGTCCTCCGGGATTCACTGCTCAGGCCAGCAGTGGTGGAAGGTACTGCTCATGGTGACATTGTGCTGTGGCTGGGGACAGGAGGACAGGAGAACAGCCTGTCTAGGTGAAGCTGCCCCGGGAGGTGGCTGGGATAGAGAAGGATGAGGGATGCTGCATTGCCAGGGACTTGGTGAAGCTCATCTGGGAGCACAAAGTGCACTTTGAAGCATTTATTCCTCAACACATAAAATTACCAGGCTGGTTTTATATTTAAGCTTGCCCATTGCAGTTTTATAAAGCTCAGCCTCATCAAAGCTGTGTTTCTCCCCTCCTGATCCCCGTGTCAGGAGTCAGTCTGCCCCATGGTCAGGGTGATTAAAAGTAATTGTTCAATATCAATATTAGAGTGCAGGTTGGACATAAAAATGGGGACATGCAGGAGCTAGACCACTTGAACCTAAGAACCCCTGTCCATGCCCAGGATTAGGTTGATTTTATCAATATTTTTAGCTTCAGCAGAGATGTGATAGAGAGCAATGCTTTATTTTTCCCTAGGTCGACGCCGAGATGCTCAGTGCACTCTGTGGCAGCAAAGTCATGTTTTTCTCTACACTTCTGCAGCTTAACGCATTTAAATCCCTTCATCTTCATTACACTGATGAGCTTGTCCTTCAGAAGTTATTCTTCTCCCATTCTTGGTCGTGATTATACTCATGCTTTAAACCAAATGTACTTTACCTGAGGGCTCACCTGCCTTGTGTTGCCTCATGTAACAGGGGAAGAAGGTCATCCTGGACCGGGCTCTGTCGAGCAGATGAAGAGGCGGATGTTGGATACACTAAAGCTGCCTGATTAGCAGAGAGACATGCTGTCCCCGGAGCGCTGCGCACCGGCAGGTCGTACCGCCCTGCTGCAGAGACCGTGGGACAGGACCCCCCTTCCTGAAAGCATCCGCCTGGCTTTGAGTATCCCGGCGATGGGACTGTGAGTCCCCAGTGCTGGAGGAAAGCCCTGGGCTGATAGCGCTCCCTTTCCCCCAAAGCAAACAAATCTCTGTCTCTCCCTCCCCTCAGCTCTCTTTTGAAAGATGAAACACCCAAAACATGCAAGAGGCAGCAGATGGGACGTGCGGCAGCTCCAGCTACCCGGGCTTCAGCGCTGCCGGGCTCCAGGCACCTGTAGCCAACCATCTGTGGCTTCTCTGTGTTTTGAAATTCAGAAAAGGCAACGGCTGTCTTTAGAGGAAACAACAGCCAGCAGTGACCAACACACTACAAAACCTCTGTCCGCAACATCTTAGCAGTGACACGTATTTTATACCTGTCTCCGCTACTTCCTTCCCCACCGATTCCCCCGTCCCCAGACACTCCTCACTATTTCTGTGTTTTGCAGTAGGTGCAAAATACCCCCGAGCACTTGAGATGCTGCCTAGGAGCTTGCAAAGCAGAGTCTGAGCCCAGCACTTTGCTCCTGCCCGCCTGTCAGGGCTCGAACACGGGTGACTGCAGGGCATTCGGTCCATATTACAGCCAGAGCAGTTGAACCCTGGTTTGCGTTTCTTGGCGTACCAGGCTGGAGGAGGCCTGGACTTTGGGCTGCAATGTGGCTCAGCATTGCAGCAAGCCTCTCTGCTCTTACATCAGGCTCTGGAGTGGGGTAAGCACACAGGACCGGAGACGTTGCACTCTGATCTCAGCACTCGTGTTTCCTGCAGCTCGTCACAGAAACGCTCTGTGTGCAGCAGTAATTGCTACTGCTGCTATTAAACCTGACAACATCTCTCTCTCCAGAGAAGATGGATTTAGCGGACAGATGGACTTGGATGTAGCTCAGGGCTCACCAGGGGCCACTGGGGCAGCAACTGCCTCTCTGAGTATGCAAAACTCCCCAGCCAAAACTCCAGCATCCAAACCAAAACATCTCTTAATAAGCAGAGTCCAGCATCACCTTGACGCACATTAATTGGACCCAGAATCCCCAGGACCATCTTAAATTCTCAGTATCTGCAGTTGTGCAATGTCCAACAAACATACTTAGGAGCTTGAAAACTGTACTGAACATTAGGCAAGAGTCTGAAGGCCAGCAAAATGCTATCCCTCATGTTATGTTGCTTGGGGAGAGAATTTGGTTATAACGCAAAATAACTCCTGCACTGACTGTTCTGGTACAGCTCTCTCCATTAAGCTGACATAATTCAGATAAGCCCTCAGGTTCAGAGTACTGTGCTGGGCTCGTAGCAATCAGTCAGCCAGCCCAGACCTTCTCCTCCCACATCTGTTGTGTCTCAAGCTGAATGGCAAGGACGAACCTCTTTGCAGTTTTGACTGAGCTCCCCCAGATCTTCCTTCCAGCTCCCGTGCCTGTGAGGGAAAGCACGGGGCTTTGCTCCAGCACAAGATGCCTTCTGTAGAGGCTCCAGAGCATGAACACATGGGCAATGCCAAGACCCCCTCTCCTTGCACTGCCTGTCCCTTCTTTTTTTGGCCATAAGGCTGCTTTTTCCTGCCCGGGAGACATTTTTCTCTTGTCAGATGGGCTCCTGGATTCAACCATTTGTTTGTTCACACCCCCTGCCTTCTGCACGCTCCAGCTCCTGGGAAACAAGCCAGCCCGTATCTGGATCCTGGGGGAGAGCTGGTCTGCAGCATCCTCCATGGGGCAAGTCCCACTTCCAGGGTGGAAACCCACCTTCTGAGGGGCAGCATCTCCCCCTCCCTGGGAACTGGGCGAGCCCAGAGAGTCCCTGCCCGACGGGCTGACATTTCAGCTCAGCGGGAAAGGGTGAAGGGGCCTCTTGCCCTCATGTAGAGCCAGGAGACTGCGGCACGGAGGGACTGGTTCCCTGGAAGCCGCAGGAGCCAAGCGGGGATTTCCTGGGCCTCTGCACAGGATTAACTCTCCTCCTAGCACAGCAAAGTGTCTCCTGCCAGCAGGATCTCCCAGGGCGGGGAACATTCTGCCAAAATAAAGCAATGGAAACCCCATCCCTTGCAATGGAGAAACCCCCAGACAGCGCCAATAACAACAGCCCCAGGAGGCAGCAAATGCATGCAACGCACTGAACGAACAAGAAGCCCAGCTATTAGAAACAAAATACAGATAAGACATTTGGGAATGCAATGTATTTCTGATACAGCCTCACTGACTGCAAAGTCTGCCCAGAAGCAGCAGAGAAACCTTCCCCCTGTTAGAGCTGCTTGCGAGCCCACTCACTCCAGCCTAGTAACTCCGCTGGCTTCAGTGGAAATTAAATCTACAAATGAAAAAGTCCTTTTCCATTTCAGTGCATTGCTGCGATTGATTTCAGCTGTCAGAATTACACTGCCTTGCATGCAGCAGCAGCGTGGTTTCTGATATCACTTGGGATGGTTTCTTCATTTACAGAGACATCTCGGAATCCTTGTGATTAATAAGTTAACATATTGGTTGCTTAGAAAATGTAAAATTAAATTTTCCTGTTGCAATCAGCCAGTGCAATGTGCCTGCAGCACTCTGAAATCGCTGGTCTTGAATATTTCATCGCCAGAATTTCTGAGAGATTTGATCTTACAATAAAATAAAATGTCTTAAGTGATCACCTAATATGAACACGGGAAGTGATTTATGTAAAAATTGTCATTAATGCTTGGACTTTTCGCTTGCTGGAAAAGCAACGTATCTTTTGCTTTACAAATATTTTAGTTTGTACATGGTTTCTTGTTTTAGTTGTAGAAGTTTTGCCATTATTAGGGAAACAGCTGTTCATCCCAGTTTGCCCCTCTGCCATATTAAATAATGCCGAGCGGAGTTACCTCCCTGATGTAAGCACTGCCCTGTACAAATATTCCTGTTGAGAGTCCAGTTCTGCCCATGTGTGATGGCTCAGGTGACAGCATTCCGAGCACAGCGGCGTGGGGGTGCAGAGCAGCACTGCGAATGCCAGTTCGGGTACAAAGCATGGCAAAACAGAGCTCCTCTGCCTCCACCAAAACCACCACGCGTGGAGAATGCTCAGCCGGAGGGCTCAGTACCACACTCATGCTTGCGAGACATTTGGAAATACCTCTGACACCTAACATTCGTATTTCCTAAAACCAACTGTAAAGAGTTAGCCCTCAGTCTGTTATTTAAACACTTACCTTTCGCGTTCTCCTTATGAAAGCATTCATCCTAAAAAGCAAATTTCCCACCCTTTGTTACACACTGCGTTGCAGTTTATTCCATATAACACCGGCAATCTCCCTGTGACAAACCCTGCATGGCGGAGTCTCCCGGGTCTGCATGCGTGCGTGTCAGCACCGTGGGCTCAGAGGTACGGTGGGTTTTACCACGAGAAAAAGGATCCTGGGCTGCAGGATCTCCCCCTGGGTTAGCAAACACAAACCGCTCACCTCCTCTCGCCGGCGTCGTGGGCTGGGGGTGCCTGGGGGCTTCCCATCCTTCCAGCTCTCAGGGCAGGCTGTGCAGCTGCGGACGTCGCCTCTCCTTTCACATCACTTCTGGTTTCATCTGGGTTTCTCATACCATTCTGTTTTACTCCCCTGGGCTGGAAATCCATCAGTGCAAATCCTTCCTCTGGTTTCTTGCTCTCTTTTGCATTCTTTTGGTGAACGTGTGTCAGGTTTTCTTTCCTCCCCCACTT